CTGATCAAGAATATATATACTTTATGGGGTCTGCGATGATTCCTTCTGCCTGTTACATACTTTTCACAAAACCATTATACCCTGATTTCCTATTTTCAATGGGTTCAGGGTATAAAAACATAATTTCATCTAATGAAGGAAAACGTATCAAAATACTCAATATCACTTAATGTTAATGAAAATAAAAATAAAGATGTATAAATGTATATGACTTTGCCATTGAGGTTTTCCAGAATATTGTATTGGATAAATTTTGGTCTTTAATTTACAATGAATGGCAATGAAAAATTATTCAAATTATTTAATGATAGGCAACAAAATTTGCTTGCTGTAAACTATAATTTTTTTCGACAAACTACGAATGTTTTTAAAAGCTATAAATTATATATTGTTATTATATATCACAATATATGATTCTTGTTAATATCTAATCGAGCTGATTGCAGTAAATAGAATTATAACTTTTGCATAAAACACATTTTTTTCCTTAAATAGTTCACTACGTTCTTATGCATAAGTACTCACAACAAATTATATAAATAAAATTATAATGTATAATAACAGAATTAAACAAAGTAATAAATTGAAGTGCAGCTATTATGGATCAGATGAAATATAAATACTTTCGTTTAAAAAAACAGCGACAGCAGTAGAGAAATCACATCAACATGGGATGTGAAAAATAATTTTAGGTTCGCAAAGGAAGAAAAACGAAAGAAAGATATACATACATATGTATATGTTAATGTGAACATATACTTACATATGTATGTACGTGCATACGTGTACGTTTGCTGTTCAAAAGTTCGTCTTTTTACCTTGCAAATTGTCCAAGAATCAATTTGAATTAGCTTTGACTCATCTAGAAAAAGAATTTGCCTTATTAAATTATAACACATTTCTATCCCCAATTATCTTAATTCACTTTATAATATATAATGTTAATTAAATATGACGTGTCTGACAGTGCAAAAGCTTGAAAAGTAAAGATGACAATTCTAATTATCTATTGATGAGAAATTGTGTGATTATATATTATCGAATATGTAAGTATATCGATTAGGAACATAAGAGTAGTGCCAGATCGCCACAACTCTATAAGACGCATGCAGAAAAAAAAATTATTTAATTGTTTATTATCTTCGCAGCAAATTAATTGATCGATTTAAAAAAAATAATAATAATAAAAAAAATAAATAA